CTGAGGCACCGGGGGCTTGTGGCTGGCCAGGACTCACCCAGGACCAGCAGCAGGCCCTGAAATGGGAAGTACTTGGGCTTCCTGAAACCTCGAGGTTCAAATCCCAGCCAGCTGACTCAGGATTCTAGCCCACTAAATCGGAAACGTCCACTGAACTTAGCACCGGCCACCGGGCTGAGGTACGGTCCAGGAAGACGGGGCCCAGCAGCCCTGACCTCACGCCATGCGGCGGGGGCAGATCTTCCTCCTTCCCAAGTCACGTTCTCAAATGCAAAGTGAGGCAAACTCTCACCACAGGAAGGGCTGCTGGAGAACGGGAGCCCCAGAAGAGCACTGTGTTTAGAACCTGGGCACCAGGGAGCTGGGGACTGTGCCGGTTGCCACATGCAAGGGGTAAAGCGGGGAAAACACGCTCGGACCATTACTGAGAAAACATACTCGGGATTTCAAAAAGGTAAAGACCTAACAAAAACTCACCTCATCCTTTTCACAACTGCCACAACTCATCTGACTTTGTGATACTTCTCTGTCATATCGATTTTAAAAATTAAGCAGAGAAAAGGAGGACAGCAGCTCACGTTCTGGAAGGCCGGCTGGCAGTCTGTTCCCCAGGTGAACCCACACCATCCTCGAAAGAGCCCTCTGACTTTGCAGGCAGAGAACCACGGAGGGCAGCGGTCTGTGCCTCACAGAGAGCAGGGCCCCAGGTGGTCTCCGGGGCCTCACTCCAGCCTTCCAGAAGAGCCTGAGGAGTGGGGCATGAGTGCGCCACGCTGCTTCCTCCCTTCCCGCCGAGCACCCATTTGTAGGTGGGCTCTGGTGCAGAAGTCACCTGGTCCACGGGCCCCTTGGACAGCCCGGGATCCGGGCTCTGGACCACCAGAACAATGATGAGTGCAGCTGATCTTGAAGAAAATCGAGAAAAACCTACCGAACTTCAGGGTCAGAAAGAATTGGGTTAAAACCCTGGCCCCCCTACTGTTCAGCTTATTAACACGGGGCAAATGGCTTCCCCACCCTCGGTTCTTTCTTCTGTAAAATGGAGTCGAACACACTACCCTACCTAAGGAATTCTTGTGAAAATTACAAAAGAGAAAGTGACTGGCACATGGCACCTAGTAAACGTTATCCATTTTAAGGCTTTTTTAAATAACAAGATTTTCAGGGCACCTGGGTGGCTCAGTGGGTTAAGCCTCTGTCTTCGGCTCAGGTCATGATCTCAGGGTCCTGGGATGGAGTCCCACATCGGGTTCTCTGCTCAGCAGGGAGCCTGCTTCCCCCACCCCCCGCCTGTCAAATAAATAAATAAAATCTTTAAAATAAATATTTTCAAAGTCATTGTAATACTGGATAGTTCTTAAAACTACAAAATTAAGTAATATGACAAAGCGTTCGACAGTTTAGTGACTTTTCTTGTAAACGAAAGAAACGAAACAAACTGGAAGGGGGTGAAATCAAATAAAATGCTCTCCCTAAGGACAGAAAGAATGTTCCCATGCCATCTGCTCTTGCGGGGCGCGGGGCTCTGCGTTTACGGGATCAGCTGGGAGTCCCGCGGCTCTCGGAACCCGGCCCTCTTGGCACTGGCATCCCGCCCCTGGGACTTGTAGGACATGTTTGCAATTTGTTTTTATTTTTAGACACATCTGCAAATGCAGTTTGAAAAATACCAGTCCTCACAAAAAAAAAACAGGGCAATTTTCCCCCGAGTTTTCGAAAGCTGTAATTGTGGCTGCCTTCCTTACTCCGTTGGAGAACCACCGCATCTTCCAGCAAGGCCAAGCGCGACCTCCGCCCGGCAGGCTGCCCGCCTGCGAGCTGCTGTCTTACCCTTCAGACTGTCTTGTCTGAACCCGAGGAAGCACAATGTCCTCCTCCTCAGCTAAGCCACACTCTCAAAGCCTTCCTGAGGCCAAGAGAGGCTACCTTCCAAAGACATCAATGGGGAAAGGCGCCGGACTTGTAACTTTAATCTTGGTACCCAGAAGCTGGGGCTCGAGGAGGGAAAAAGGGCCAGCACACCCTATCAGTCACCCATGTGACTGCCTGACTGTACAGTGGTGACTAATTTTCCTAGGAGGTACAAGCTGAGTTTCCTCTGTACTTCCCACTTTTTCGGAGTACGTCGTCTTGTGACCACATGAGCTAATTAGAGTTGGGGCACAGTCGGCTGTAAACACCTCCCCCACCCCCATGCCTCCAACCTTCCCATCATTACTAGCTCGGTGCTCAAACCGACATTCCCCAACACATCCCCAGGACAGACCGGGCGGGGGGGGGGGGTGCCCTGACGGGCTCAGTTGGAAGAGCATGCGACTCTCGATCTCGGGGTTGTGAGCTCCACGTGAGGTATGGAGATTACTTATATAAATAAAAACATGAAAAAAAAAAAAAGGCCAATGAGTAATTTATTCAAATTTAGCAATCAATGCAATTGCAGACACTGATGCAACTGTGTTTCACTGGCCACTGATAACCCAATAGGAGAGGGGAGAGCAGGGCCATTGGTAGAGAACAAAGAACTGAGAGGGCTGATTTTAAATACAACGTGTTTCAAGTTGCGTTGAATAGGAGGGTGGGCATGCTACCAGGTGAGCTGCTCAGAAAACCCGCGGCTGGTTTGTAACACATCAGATCATTCGGTGACTAACATGCTCCCAGAGAAACAGCGCCTCTCCTCTTTGACCCCCGGGAGGCCGGAGGCCTGAGGCCAAGCACGCAGCACTCTTAGCACGACACGTGGGGGTCATGTGTGGCGAATTGTTCCAGAAGCCCTAAGAGCCCGGAGCTGAAATAATGTTGCAAGAAATACCGGAGCATCAGAAGGGACAAGAACAACTGTCCAATCTGGAGGGGGAAAGAAATAGCAAAAGCGAACGATGCTCACAAAGCGCTTTATAAAATACCCCATTTGGAGGGCACGTGTGTTGTGACTCTAAATTTCATTTTAAAAAATTGTCACACGGTAAGATTCACTCTCTGGGGGGGAAAGGTACACAGTTCCATGAAAAAGAACATGCGTATACACCCCTGTAACCACCAAGGGGGAGGAGGCAGAAAAGTTCCATCAGCCAGAAGATTAATTCTGCAAATAATTCCCCCAAACTTACATTAGCCAATAAGGGGCTAATGAATAATAAGGGAGGCCACCATAATTCACCACCTGTCATCACAACCAGGTGCCAGGGGAAAAAAGGCTACATCCCAGCCTCCCATCCACTAACACCAAGTTATTTTTGCTGCTTGGCTAGCAATCTTCATGTGTTTCTACATTATACAATTTTGCGGTATTTAAAAGACACATCCCCAGATTTTTCATCACGGTGTCAATTCAATTCATAAAAGCTTCTTGTTTCCTTCCTCATTGCTTCAGGGGCTTTTTAGCTTGAAAAAGTGGCAGGTGGGACATTCTGCAGGAGATTAAATTTTCACCTCAGCAAATCTGTCAGGGTTGATTCTAATTTTTCCCTTCCTAATTATTAAACATTCTGCAGTTCCTCTGCTCATGTAAAGGATGTTCTGGAAGGGCACCACCAAAAGGGGCAGTACTAATTAAGTGTGGGCAACGCAGTACCCTCTAATAGGTTACTGGGATGAAGATCTTGTCTATTAGGTCCTAACTGCTCTCTGTTCTTTGCTGGAACTACTGCTGTGTGCGCGGTGGGGGAAGGGAAGGGCATAAAACTTTTCTGTTCAATGTCCTGTATGGTGATATGAAACCATGAACTGGGGACGGATGATTAAACAAAACAGAACAAAAACCAAGGGGGCTGGGGTACGGATTAACAGAAGAATCTCCTCCATCCCTCTCTCACATACCCAGCAAGCCAGAGTGCTCACTTCCTTGCCTCAGTTTCCTGCAGCCACAGCTTTCTGCCACGGTGAACAGTCAAAAGTCACTTTAAGAAGTTGAACATTACCAACTGCGAGGTGCTTATTAGCTCTATTCCGTGCCCCCTCGTCTGGTTAGCCTTTGCGTGTACAATTCTTCCAGCCGGGCCACCTGGGCAATCAAACTCTCTCACCCCCGTAAAAACACCTTGTAAAAAACTAAGCCGCGACACACAAGGCCCTCACCAGCGTTGCAGCACAGCTCACCGACAAGGCGAGGGCAAAGTCTGCGTGGGAACCCGAGTTTACAATAAAGAGGGAAAGGGGGCGGGCGGTCACGAGGAGCGCCGAGCGCCCTGTGCTGCAGCTTCGCGGCCGGCCGGGAAGGCCCCGCGCCAGGCCGGGTGCACACCCAGGGCGCCGGGCCCGCCTCCAGCTCCTGGGCAGCGGGAACCGCGAACCGCGCCGTGGACAGCGGGGAAGGGAGCGCTGCGCCCCCTGGCGGCGGGGCCCTTCCCTGTCCGCTCCGGCGGCCACCACCGCCGCCGCCGGCCTGCCTAGCTCCATTTGCAGACTCCGGAGGCAGCGTCCCTCCGAACGGGGGCTCCTCCGGCCTCCAGCTCCCCGCTCGGCATCTCCCTCCAGTCCCCGCCCCCTGCTCCTGCTCTGACACCCCCTTGTACACGCCGAGCCGTGCCCCGCCGCAGCCCGGCCGAGCGCGAGCGCCGAGCCCACCGCGGGCTCCGCAGAGCCTTCCGGCGGCCCCGGCCGCTCCATCGCAGCGCCAGGCGGGGGTGCGGGGCCCGCGCACGGCGCGAGTGGGGCGGGCGGGCGGCGGCGGCGCGGACCGTTCCACTCCGCGCTCCCCCCGCCCCCGCGCAGCGCGCGTGCTCCCCGGAACGCCATGGAGCCGCCGCGTTCGGAGCGGGCACAAAGGGGCGCGCGGCACAATGGGCGCGGCGAGCCCGTGGGCGCTGGGCGCCCGCTTGGGCGGCTCGGCCCTGCGCGGGGGTGGGCGCTCCTCCCGGCGGGCGCGCTCAGGGCAGCCCCCCTTCGCGTCCCCTCCCCTGCTCCCGCCCCCACCCCGGCATGGATGTTGCAGCCACTCGCCCGTCCGTCTTGCCCCGGAGCCGCCACCGCGCGGCCGGCTTAATCCGCCCCGCACTTACCTGGGACGCGAGTTGTGTACTTTGCAGAGCGGGCCCGCGCCGAGTTTGGGCGCCACGTGGGGGGGGTGGGGGAGCGCGGGGCCGGGGAGTGGGGGCCGCGCGCGGAGGGCCTGGCCGGGGCGGCCCGGGGAGTTGCTGGGGGCGGCGGGAGGGCGCCGTGTATTTTCCCCTCTCTTTGTGTGTGTCCGTGCGCTGCGCTCTCGCGTGACGTGACGGGACTCCGTGTGTCATTTCCGCACAAGGACACAGGAGCCCCCGCTGCAGTGGAACCACAACCCCTCCGCCCCCACCCCTGGCCCGCCCCTCCCCCTCAGCGGGGCACACGCGGGACCGGCGGCGGCGCTCGGGCGTGAACGGCCGCGGCGGGGAGCTGGGGCGCGCACTCCGGGGACCCGGGCGGCCCTGCGCGCTCGTCCAGCGCCGCGCCGCTCCACGTGGGCCCGCGCCGGCGGCTCGCGGCGGGGGGCGGCGGCCGCGCAACCCACGGCGAGCCCGGGCAGCGCTGCCTAACAATGTCCCCTGCACGTCGTGTGCTCTCCCCCCGCGAGTCATCGCTCTGAAACGTGGTTGCTCAGCCCCGAGGAGTTTGACCTGAAAAGCCTCTTTTTCCACTTTTTTTTTTTTTTTTCTTCCGCGGGACGGCGACTGTTGCGGGTCGTCTCCTCCCCTCGCGCCCGCGTCTCTCCCCAGTTTTTGGCATCCCGGTCGTGGCCCCGCAACCCCCCACCCCGGGCGGGTGTTCCCGCGCCGCGATCCGCACAAAGACCTCGGGGCGCCGGGACCCGGGTGGCCCCCGGGGCCCCCGCGAAGCCGGCATGGAGTCCGGCGGGGCGCGGGAGAGCGACCCCGGCGCTGGGAAACGCAGGCTCTGGCCACTCCCCCGGCAGGGTGGCCGCCCTCTGTTGTGAGCCGGAGCTGAAAGTCACCCTTCTACTTGGAACCCGAAGTTTTGAGGTTTGAGGCTACAGAGCAAGACATTCAGAAGTGCGCGCGCTCGCAGACCCACATGCCACCGACAAACCCACGGGGTATCTGCGCCGAGCGCTTAAAATAGAAGGACACGAGTCACCAGTTCAATAAAGCCTGATTCTTCCTACTCCTAACTCCCGGACTGTAGATTCCAAGTTGATAAATACGAAACCTACCCCTCGGGTATTTTCTTAAGTCTCAGTGACTTGAAGGGGTGTGGCGTGTGAAGGTCAGGGAAGCCCAATCCAACAGTTAAACCACGTTTACATTTTAGGCAAACAATGAGAATGTAGATTTTTTTTTTAAACCTTTAATTTGCCGGTCGGAGTAAATATAAAAAGAAAAATGCAAATGATCCCATCTGCTGCTCACAGCTGACTGGCTGCGGGAGCGAGCCATGTGGCCCAGCCCTGCGCGGTCCGTGAATAGGTAGAATAGATTTTAAAAGAAGGCATATGCTGGCTCCTTGCTGCCCAGTTGCGGGGAGGGTTTGAATGAACGTATAGGTCTGGATTACCGTATCCTCCGGACCCCTCCCGTTGGGAATTTAGTAATTATGCAAGTTCTTTCCCTTCGGGTTTGAAATCAAAAGGCGCTCGGTTATCTAAGACCTTTGAGGAACTACGTGGAACATTCTGGAGGCTGCATTTGGATAGCCCATTTTGAGAAGTCAGTACTAATTGCTATGCAAAATTAGCAAGCCTCGGGGAGAACCGAGCTCTGCATCCAGGGGGTGCTTTTATAAAAGAATCTATACGTGCTCAGTGTCATTCAAAACAGGATGATGAAAAGAATGGGGCCGAGATAGCAGCCCTTCAAATTCAAAAGACTTGAGACGCCCTATCTACATTTAAAATAGGGCGGAGGGAGGAAGGGAGGAGGACCGCTTGGGGGAGAATGGTTAATTTATACATTCCCAGAAGACGGAATGGAGGCGCTTCGGTTTCTGCCGGGAACTTGACTTTTACACTCGCACATTAAATAACATGTATAATACGGAATATCGCTTGACTCACTTAACAGATACAGCAGTTTTAGTCTCACCTTCAATTTAATGTGACAGTTAGAATTAGAATTTAAAGAGTATAAATTGCATTTCATTAGTTCAGTTTTCTAGGATTTCCCAGTAGAAGAGTTAGGAAGAGTTAAGAGTAGCATTTAAGCTCGCTTTGCATTTTTAAACCACTTTGCAGAAGTGGTTTAAAAATGTAAAATGACCTTGTTACATTTTTACAAAGGGGATTAGATGAGATAGGTGTTGTGAAGATCTATAGCTTTAGCCGGCCCTCTACAGTAACAACTGAGGTGTTTAGGGAGAAATTAAATAATAAAACAATTGAAATAAAAATAGAAACCAACATTTCCTTGTGTTTGAAACCAAGGATTTTGTCAAATATAGTAGTTTTGTTAATAAATAGCATCTCAGGCGAGCAGCATGCTTACCTGACCGCTGACTTTTTAAAACATCTTAGAGAAATGTGACCTTGAATATTATTATAAATGACACATCTTAATTTGCATAACTGGATCAATCTACTTAACAAAGCTGTTCATTCCAAATAAGTTATTAACAAAATGGAAATCATTGCTATCTAGGAAATGACCTACCTTCAAATGGTTTTGTATGCTCTTTTTGTTTTGTTTCATAAGGGAAAATAGTATATGAAGTTGAAGGTAACAGCCAAAGCTGCATTGGAATAGTTTTATCTAACTTGTATTTTGGAGGCTTTAAAAAATAAAAGGTCTGAAAAAAATAATAGGTCTGAAAGTGCATGCAAATAAAAGTAATGCCTTCTGAAAAAAGATGAATAAACATGGAGTAAGATGGGGAGAGGAATGACGTATAAAAAACAATTCCTGCCCAACACAACCCGAAGTCAGTAGGAGTCACGACGGTTCCTGGTTCATGGGGATGTGTGGAAAGACCTTAAATATAAATAAATAAATAAATAAATCCCTGAGTTTTAGATATCTGCATGATTGGAAATTTCTTAATTAGAAATGCATTTTTCAAGTTTTCAGATCAGAGTTGTTGCAATTGATCTAATGAGCTCATTTCCAATCTTACCTGAGTCAAAAACAACAGGGAGGAGATCGGCTCCCTGGCCATACAAAGGATTCACACAAAACACTAGACCAACTCAAAAAGGAGAATTGCTCCAGCCTTTAATAAAAAGAATGGGATATATACATAATGTAAATATATATAATTCAGAGTGGCAGACAGACAGGCATTAGGTTTCAGTTATCTTGTAACTGCTATTCTAAAGGTTTTTATCGTCGCTAAAATATATTTATAGTTGCCAAGACAATATTTAGTAGGGCTTTTTTTTCCCCCCTCAGTGGTTAAGTCTTAAAACAACGCAACAGATTTCACTGTTACTTGTGAGACATTTCCACTTTATTTCTTGCCTGCTGGATGTATAATTTTGCCAATTCTTCCACTTCAAACAGAAGTAGCTGACAGATCCAGATTCCATGAATACTGACAAAAAAGTAAGAAGGAAAAAAAGAAGGGAAGTGGGAACACGTATTAACTTCATTAAATAGAACTTATGGAAAGACACACCTTGAAAACTAACTTGCAAAACTGGCTTTTGTTTGGGAAATTAGGCTCCGCGAGTTCAGTTTAACCCCTTGTGTGCTGGGGCGTGGGGGCGGGGAGACCTACCTTTAGTGGAATCCGGAGGAGGTAAACGACACAACATGGGGGAAAAGATTAAGTTTTGAATGAAAATGCTGCAGAGAATTTGTGCTGGGCAATTCTTCTTCTGCGTGGAAGGACTATTTAATAATTTATAGCAGCTTGAGATTTTAAGTACCCAACACAGCCATTAAGATCTGATTTTAGCTGAATATCTGGCTTACACAATAGGATTCTGCAAAAAGAAATGTTAGGAAGAGTGAAAATCACTGCAGTCCCGCTCTCAATTTCAAGCCCTTGAGAAAACAAATGCCAATCTGAACTATAGCTCATCCCAAGCCTAGAGTGCTGGCTGGAGGCATCGCAGGCCCAGGGCCCCCAAGCCCAGAGGGGCGCCCAAGGGCCTGCAGTCAGGAGTCCCCACACTGATCACACAGCTGTGACTGGCAGGAAGCAGGGAGTAAGGGGAGGCCGCTTTCCCAGCCAATCGGTGCCCATTAAAAAAAGAAGAAAAAGAAGACATACTCTCCTAGTAACCGGCCAGTTTTTAAGAAATTATTTCAGGCTGTGGATCAAAAGAGCCTTTAAATGAAATGATATACATACACAGACACATCTTTTTTGGTCTTAGTTGACCTGCCTAAAAATTTTTCTATACAATGAAACACCTCATAGAAATGAACTCGAGGGTCAGTGATTCTATTTCTAAGACTCCTTCCCGGGGAGATACTCAACCAAAGCTACATCTGCAAGTTTGTTTATTGCAGGATCGTTCGTGTTAGCAAAAAAAATGGGAGGGGATTTGAAAACCTGCTCAATAAATGACATATGCTAGGCATACTACACAGGCTTTAGAAAGAGAAGTACTTTTTTTACAGAGACAGAAGAAAGTCTATAACCACCTTACTGAGTAAAAGACAATCAGAGATCTATTTGAAAGAAGACTTGGGCTGCCTCCGTTTTGACCTCGAACTTTCTAGTTTGGTTCGAAGACCTTGAGGGCAAGATCGTCCCTAGCTGCGAACCAAAACTACCCCCGAAGCAATAAGGACCGGGCTGAGACCCTAAGACCCCACCCAGGACTGACTCCAGGACACTGATCTTTTTGACCTTCTCAGCCTACCTGCAGGTACCCAACCACCTTTGCACCACATTTTTCCTTATATAAACCTGGAAGTCGTTCCCTTTTTTGGCCAGAGTTTCGAGAGGGTACACACCTCTGTTTTCTGCTATTGGCCTCTTTGAAATTCCTTTCTTGTTCTGGGTGCCTGGATGGCTCAGTTGGAAGAGAATGCAACACTTGATCTTGGGTCATGGTTTGAGCCCCAGGTCCGGGTATAAAGATGATAAAAAAAGTTGTTGTTGTTTTTTTAATTCTTTTCTTGTTCCACCACCACTTGTTTCTCTGCCTTTGAATTTTGTCAGTGGCGACGGGCTGAGCTTGGTCTTTTTGGGATTCCTGGAGCCAGGTGCCCTCGCACCTCTGTGTGCCAGGCCACATGACAT